GGAAGGAAGAGATGCCTGGTGCTTGTGTCAATAAACTGCACTGTAGGATTCAGAGCTGGAAAATTACCAAGCAATTATTGTAGAGTTTTTATCACATCTGGTTCTTTTTTTCCGGTGGCCCTGATGAACCCTTCAAAAATGGGAAGTTCTGAAAGGCAAATCCCATATGCTAGCTCTCCTCAGCACAGATTGCGATGTGGATGGCAAATGCAGCCTGCTTACATCCTGATACACTTCTGTTCTTGTCCACATGCTGCTTCTTGCCCACATGCTAAAGTGGGCTCTGCTCCCAAGATTGGAGCAGGAGGAAAAAAATCAGTTCAATTTGCAGTCAAACCACTCAAGTTTGGTGGTGTTAAAAGCACCGCACCTGTTTCAATCCCGTGGTGTGATCTTTCCTCCAGAATGATGAGCAAATTAGTGTTATACAAACAGTGAATGAATTTAAGGCAAAAGGTAAACAATGCCTGATATTTCAGAGATACTAGATATTTATGAAATCCAAATCCAAAGACAGTGTTTTAAAATGGAAACCTGCTTTGACAGAGAAGTAGTACCAGTTTTACCTGAAAAATACAACTATCATCTCAGACATTACAAAAAAAATCCTAAGCTTAAATTGAGATGTCTTAAAACTGCTAGAGTGAATGACTCTGGCCCCTCTCCAAAGGTGATGACTCTCTTCCTAATTTGGTATTTGAATGCTACATTCCCAAGTGCTTCTGCCAGACTGAAGAGTATAATGGTTTGCCCTTAGAGCGTACACGAGCTGTGTGAACCTGTGCTCACTCTTCCTTTCTTGCCCATCTGACACACCTTGTTTCTTGCATAGACAATGTAAGCGAACTCAGGGAATAATATGAAACCATTATGGTTTTATTCTTTTCTGCCTGATCCTGCTCAAACAGAACAGTTTAATGAGTTCCTAAGATTTTTTTGTTGATCGATGCATATTTGAGGTGTTTTGGAAGGACTCTCACTTACTGGCTTTAAGTGCCTCTTTGTTTCATGGAGGTACAGAATGTGTGTTCAGGAAACAAAAAGAAAATTCAGAATCATGTATTAAGCTGTCAAAAGACTTTATCATTTTAGCAATCCATAACACTTACTAAAGACCTGCAAAGCTAGCAATATGTTCAACAGCTGTGAAAGAAAAAAAAGTAATTTCTCTGGGTGCCTGTGAAGGAGTAAATAACCGTGTTGGTTGAGACATCTCAAAAAATAAAAAGGAAAGAATAAAGGACATGAAAAACTAAATACTTGTTAGCTTAAATAGGGGAGCAGCAAAAGTCAGTATACTGTGGGACTGCAGTTGTCATTCTGAACACATAGGATTAGCTACAAGGGAAGAACGTTAGATGAAACCTCTGTATAAGGGCAACCTCAAAGCATAATGATCTGGCAAATGTATGAAAGAAATGCGTGTACTGTGTGTAACATGAGAGAAAAGAGCTGTAGTGTTTGCTTCTTGATAGGGACAAAAACTGAAATGTGGTTGCATTTTTTAATTAGAGTTTGTTTCTGCTTTTCATTTTACATGATAAATGAGGAATCTATGGCTGGAGTGATAGAGTGTTAGTGAAAAGATTATAAAGTTTTTCATATTCTAATTAAAATCGTCTATGAATTAGCATTTTAGAGAAATGCTTTGTCAGTCAAAAAAAAAAAAGAGCCGTTCTGTCTTTCCAATTATAAATTAAGATCTGTCAGCATAGATCCATCAAGATATCCTCTAGATCCTCTAGCAAAACTAGGAAATAGCAAGGTTGACACTTCCGATATTTCGATGTCCTATTACAAAGAAACCCAAGACCTTATCCCCACCCCACTCCTGAAGAATTCCCATCATTTTATGTGATCTTTAAATAGCACTCTGAATGAAGGAAAGGGTACAGGACTAATGTAAAATACAGTTTCCACATCCTTATAGACAATATTTGCATTTTTCTGTATCGCACTTGCATTTCTCTCATGAAACGTTGCATGCAGTTGGCAGGTTGGCAGAACACCAAAGCTGCTTCCTCTTATAGCTGCTTCCTAGTTAATGAGGGCACAACAATAGGAGCAAGGCTATACGGCCAAGAAGAAACTCCCCACCACGGCAGCATTTTGAGACCTTTAAAATGTGCACAGCATTACCAAGGCATCTGCTTTACACGGCACCTTCCTATGAGCAGAGGACTGAAATAGGAGCTACTGCTTTATTGTTTATTAACATCAGATCCCTCCCAGGCTGGTAGGAAGTATGTAGGTCACGTATAGGCCATATTAGCATGACAAAAGTCTTGGGGGGACAGGGAACTGTTTTCCTTTAGTTCGGATACATTTAACAGTTTACATGGTGTATACAGATATACACGCAGGGAGGCCAAAGATCAAAGCCAGGGGTGAATTTGACCTTGGATATGTTTGGTTACTGAGGACTCATGTATCCCTTTACCGAAAGGAGCAGCTCTAGTTTCAGGATCAGCTTAATCTTTAGCGTATGCCCCAGGCATCTTTCGGAGTCTATGGAAAGTGAGTAGAAGCCACTCTGGAAAGAGCAAGTGGTAACACACACAACAGGCAAAATTTGGAAGTGTTTTATTCTACTTCTCACAGCATTGCTTGGTTGTAAGTAGAGTCAAAGTGTTAACTCAAATTCACCTTCTCTCTCTGGAAGTGTCTCAACTCTAGATCAATTAAATTGACGTGGGAGTGACTGCATAAAGCACTGTGCCCTACCAGAGAGTGGGTGGTAGGTGGTGGTGGCTGATAGTGATGGCTGTGGTGACTGCAGCCACTTCCCTGTCTGTTAGGTCCCCTGAGTTTGGCCCTGGCAGACTGAGGTCATTTTCAGGACTCACTCTAAAGAATATCAGAGACTAGTCTTGGGTTTGTTTTTTTCAATTAAACACAGATACAAATCAAAAATTTTTGAGTTGGTGTAATTTTTTTTTTTAAAAAACTTGATGCTTCCTATGTTGTTTGGGTTGCGTGCTTGCAGCTCAGCTCTTTTGCAGACCGCTGAAAGTATCAGTATAGAGCAGCACTTCCCTGACGCCTTCTCTCTTAATCAGCCTACCTGCAGCCTTTCCCCTGCTTCAAGGTCAAATGTTGCTGTACCTGTAACTGGGAATTTTTTTCTGTGGCTTAGCAGAGTTATGCCAGGCCATTCAAAAACTTCCCACAGTGGTGTAAAGAAACTAATCTATTATGTTACACAATATTTTTATGGCAAAGCATATGCACTGCTCATGGTTCTCCTCAACTCATGTCCATTTCCATCCCACTTTTCCTGCAACTGTGGTATGTTAGCTTTGAACAGGCTGCAGTCTCCCTTGAGCAGGAGCCGGTGGCAGAATCATGGTCCTGAGGATTGGTTTGTTTATATTTGCCCTGGTTTTAAGAAAGTCTGAATTTCATCACAAATACTTGCAAGGTGTTTGTAATGCCTTGTACAAGGAACCTAGCCCTGGATGTATCCTTTAAGAAGTACCGCATCACAGGAGAGATGGTGGAAAGATCAGAATCTTTCTCTGGCTAAATTGCCTTTGATGCTTTGTATTAAGTAGTGCGATTTACAATATAATTTTCCTCTTGCTTCTTTCGTGATGTATTTTAACTTCAGACTGAAAAGCAATGGTTGATTTACTATGAAATTAGACTTCTTTTTCTAAAAGCAGAACTAAAGCAGAACTGCCTCTCCCTTTTTTTCCTTCCGTATTTGTGGTTTGTTTTTTTTTTAAAAAAAGTTCTAAATTTATCTAGTGTTTGATTCCTTTAAGGAACAAGAAAGAGAAGTAAGGGCATTGTTGTGTACTTAGTCCTTCCCTGTATCATGGAAATATGTCCAAGCAGTTTTGAGGAATCTAGACTCTTCAGACTGAGGTGTGGACAGGAATGTTGGGACAAAGACATGATCTGTGTAGTCCTTGTTATTCCCAGATGTTAATGCTTTGGATCATAGAGGAAACAATCTCTTTTGCTTTTGAAATTTTAACAACAGAAAGAGTCACTGATTTGTTTGCAGGATGTTACAGTCTTTGGGGCTGGAAAGAGTTTGATGGCAAGAAACTTCTGATGCCAAAGCTGTTTGGATCTAGAAGATTCTAGGAGTCTGCAGTTTGTTTGAGGTGGTTTGCTTTATCTTTTCGTAATAAGTAAATAGGAGAAAACCCCATTCCTTGGCAGAATTATTCAAGAAAAACTACGAAAGATGGACCCTTCTAAGAAGCTAAATTTTCAATGGACATAAAAAATGCAGAAATCAGTGAATGTACAACCAGAAAGTCCATCCCTTGCACAGCATTAACTTCTACTTGATTTTAAACTTACTCTCCTGCACTGAGTGGTGTTGTTGATTATTAGATTTTTTACTCTTTTTTTCAGGTCCAAAGTTCAGTCTTGGAATGGATGAGCGGAAGAGCCCGCTTGAAGACATACCATTTTCAGACACTGACATCAATTTGGAGATATCATTTGCAGAACAGGCAGCTAATCTCAAAGACAGCTCAGTAGGCAAAATGTGCAAGAGTGGAGGGGGTGACACTCTTCTCCCGGTAAGTGTTTCCTATTTATTGCTCTCATTGTTTGTTTTTACTAGTGGTACTGTTTGAATCATATTTATCTGATAGTGGGTGAATTCAATTTAGAAGAACGTTGTTGGATCCAGCTTCATGGAGGTAGACCTTTTCAAGATAACTAATTTTTGGGAGTAGTATTCTCAATAACATGGAAGTAACTACTTTTATGCCTATTTATGTCATTGTCTGTCTGCCAAAATGCACTCTATGCCTAAGCAATAACGGGCTGATAATATATTAAGCTGGAATAGTGACTTAGTGGTAGTTGTACACAAGCGGTGTCCTTACTTCATTTGTTTACAGCCCCTTTTCCTGTTATCTGAGGTGAGATGCTTCACCTCTGTAATAAAAGGATCTGTTGTAATTTCAAAAGGCTTGGTGGATGCCCGTAGTAACCTTGTGTAGTTATCCAGTGCAGACAGATGAGGGATGAGAATGAAGAATAGAATGGTCTATAGAAGTCTGAAGTCAAACATCAGGAAATTAAGGATTAGGTTGTGCTCAGTTTCTCTTTCCAGCTCTTAATAAAAAAAAGACTCATTCTGAATGAATCCAAATAAATACAAAAGAAGATCCTCCAAGGCCATTTTGTTGTTGATCCTCAGGCATCTCTTTGAGGATCTCTCTCTACCTAACAGTCCATGAACATGCAGTTACATGTGACCTGTAAACTAACGACTGGTGTGAAAAAAGTCTGTCTTCCCCCCCCCCCGCCCCCCCAACAGTGCATACAAACATGTCTGAGTAAATATAGTGTCTGAAGTAATAAAGTTTCACAGTTCTTCAAACACTTAATTTAGATAAGGACATGTGCAGTTCTTCAAACAGTAATTACCCCATGTATCCTAGTTTAAACATTATAAATCAGACACTAATGGATATTTAGAAATGGATTCTAAAGTGTTTGAGTCATGTTTCTCTAATGCAGTGTATAACAAGGAAAGGATAGCTATACTCTAACTTACTTCTGTATATATGCATATATATATATATGCATAATACATGCATTAGCTATACTTTTAGCTAGGCTTATAAAGGATTGCTGAAAGACATGGCTATGGGATTTCTCCTTCAGTGGCAAAATGATAGGAAAAGGAAGGGAGTTACCTGTTTAAATCTACAATTTCTGTTTGTTGCACCTTCGTCATTGGCTGCTATTTTTAGACATACATGTTTGTGCAAGTCAATGAAACCTCAAGGCGGGAAACTGACTATCTGCAATTTGTAAATTATGTTTATGTTTCGGTATATGCCCATGTAGTCGTGTACCATAACCACTGATTCATCTGTGCTATCACTGAGTTTGTACAGGATAAGAAAATAATTCTGGAGTATAATGTATCTTTCCAAATAGAAGAAAGTCTTGTCAACCTTCCTGCTTTGAGTCATGCACACTGCTAAAGTCAGGCACAGGCAAGAGTCTTACTTAGAAGGCTGCTGGGCAGAGATGGAGTTAAAAAGCTCTGTGAGCTGGGGAGCCCCTCTCCCTCTCAGCTCAATTCCTTATATTGATCCCTGACTGCAGCTTCTGAGCATTTAGTGCAGTAGAAATGAGCCATAATTAAGGACCCCCCCTTCACAAAGAAGGGGATCCCTTTCTTATTATTTATATGGCAGCCAAATATGTTATTTTATGTGCAAAAGTGCATAGGGGTTTCTATCCCAATTGTAAACACTGAGGATTGTTCATGGACAACCATTTCTACCACTATAAATTGCAAAAGGATGCAGAAGGTGGTGGTGTGGGAGGTGGTTACAAGCAGGACGAAGCCAGGCTCTTCTTGGAGGTTCACAGCGAAAGGACAAGAGGCAATGGACACAAGTGACTACAGGGGAAATTCTGTTTTGCAAAGTAAAATAAGTCCCCATGAGAGCATTACGCACTGGAATGGGTGCCCACAGAGGTTATTGGGAGTTTTCAAAATTCAGTTGGACAGTGCAACAAGAAACCTGATCAGACTGTGAATTTAGCCTTGGTTTGAGCAGGCAGTTGAATTAGATGACATCCAGAAGTCACTAGGAACCTAAATCCTCCTATGATTTTAAGATCATCTACTTTTCAACCTGTTTGGGGGATTCTCCTGTAATTTAGTCAGTAACGGCCGGCTTCATGATGAAAGGTTGTGCCCTGAAGGAAGCACAACCTTCGAGCTAAGTAATTTGTTATGACATGGATTATTCACTCTGCTGCAAACCTCTGCTTTTAGAATTTCAGGCTGCCGAAGGACAAAACAGGTACCACAAAGATTGGTGACCTGGCCCCTCAGGACATGAAGAAAGTCTATTCTTTAGCACTGATTGAATTAACTGCTCTCTATGACATACTTGGGACAGAATTCAAGCAGCAAAAAGCTGTAAAAATCAAAACGAAAGGTGAGTTGGTGTTTCATATTCTGAACCAAATGGGTCTGTTTTAATCCAATAAAACTAATGCGTCCAGTTCTTTATGATTTTTCCAGCAGAAAATTTAGTATATAAATAGTAACATAGGTCCTGAGCAGCATTTAATTACACGCCTTAACTGAAGGCACACTTTAAACAAGTTCATGCACGTAGTCATTCCAGCTAAGGGACTGTGCTCTTTGTCTAAAGTTAAAACTCAGGTCAGTCACTGAGCAGATAAACCAAGGAGTGAAGAAGGGGAACTATCTTAGTAGCATGCTGTGCAGGACGAATTGCTTCACAGAAGTTTGTATGTGCTGATGTATTCCCTGGGAGGACAAGTGTATGTGCTCTTTACGGGTATTCTTTTCCTGCTTTCCTGAAGGTAAGTACTGTGCTACTTCTAAGGTTGGACTCAATGATCTTAAAGTATAGCTCTCCTTTAATGGTCATTCATTTCTATTCAACAGGGCCATAAACACATGGGAGTCCCATTTATTTGAAGACTAAGGCTAGTTTTGCACCAGGGCTAGATTAACTGAGACTAGATTCCTTTTTTGTTTAATTTGCATTGCTTTAGCTTTATTGTAAAGGCTGTTTTCTAATCAAGAATTAACTATACTTTTGCTTTTATTAAAAAAAAAAAAGGCAAACCACCTTTGGCAAGATGGTGATCTTGCTATCCTGCTGGTGTTGTATAATGCAAAAGCACAGGAGCTGAAAAGCTCTTCTTTCAAAACCCTCATTGAGAGAAGTGGTAAGAATAACTCTGGGTGATAATTACGTCTGTCTCATTTTAGTAGCCAAATTTCTGGATATATTACTCATGCCGTTTGCATCTTAACTATAGTAACTTGCATTCAGTGATGAAGATGTGCATTGCAGGGTCATCATCATACCCATTCTGCAAACCAGAACCACGCAGATGGTTCATTTATGCAGTTTGCTTCACTGTACCGCAGAATATGTGCATGGCAATTTGAAGTCAAAATAGAAGACTCCTGATTTATGGTTGAAGGAAGAGATGAATGAATCCTTTTAGCCAGAATGCTTTGTGTAATAACTTGATTGACAAAGATATTCGGACACTTTGAACAAAAGGTCAATACCTCTGAATGTATTGAATGGGCTTATCACTTCCAAAAATGTGGTTTTATGCCATTATCACATGTACTGGAACAGATGTGGATAATATCACAGTTTCTTTCACTTTATTCTTCAGATTCTGGCTTGTTTGGTGTCCCACTGTCAGTTTTACTGGAACAGGATCAGAAAAAGGTGCCAGGAACCAAGATCCCGCTGATTTTTCAAAAGGTAAATAGGCATGAACAAGTCAACTTGTTACATACCTGCAAATGACGAACAAATAACATTTTGTCCTAGATTTGTTTGCTCCCTATAGCACAGTTTTCAGTATGTTACTCTAATCAATCAAAGTTATTGTAACTTTTATTTGCAGCTTTACTTAATTCAGTAAATGTGGTACTTTGCTTTGTATCAGACATATTTTGAGTTAAAGGTATAAAAGTTTGGGTTTTGTTACAACTGGTCTCCATGATTTAGGCAAGTTTACTATTAAGTCTATGAAAACTGACAGGGTAAGAACCCGCTGGAGCCAAATTCGATTTTGTAAAGGTGGTGTAACTTCCATCACATCTGTGAAAACTGACAGTGTAAGAACCCACTGGAGCCAAATTCAATTTTGTAAAGGTGGTGTAACTTCCATCACCAATAGGGCTACTCTTTATTTTTTTCAGAGCAAATACTTGAAATGCCGTAGAAATTCTCAATCCCTGGCTCACAAGCTGAACCTACCATTCTAGGAAGTGGTTTTGTCCTTTCAGAAGAGATTTGAGCCACAAGGCAGGTGGCTAGGGGGTGGGAATCGGGCTGGATAACTGCCTCTGGTGGTGGCAGCAGCCCTTTTCGAGATTTGTTGCTTTAGTACGTGGGGGGGCTGCTTTGGCCTGCATGTTGTCGTGGTAGTGGGGAAGGTAATGGGAAAGATAGCGGAGACCCTGGATTTACTGCCCAGCCATAGCAGGTCTCATTGCACGAGAAGGCAGAGACCACAGTGTGTTGACCTGTCCTAACTGACAGAAACTCAGTGCTGTGTCATCACTGTTTCAGTAGGTTTGGGGACCTGTTTGTTAAGTTATTTTTTCAAGATGCAGAAAACCCAAAGTAATTTTGCATCACTCTCTCAAAACTATTGCTGTGTCATTTCTGTCAGAAATTACTTCCTCAAGATCATAAAAATACATTTCTAGGAAGGATGCTATCTAGAAAAAAAGAAATCAAATAACAAAAAGAGATTGATCACTGTGCTATCCCAGCAACATAGTAAGCATAGTTCTTCAGGAAGCAAATTCTACATAAACATTTCTAACTTATAGATGTGATTTGTTTTGCAAGGTGCAGACATCATTTGGAATACAGTTTTTCCTTAAATGAGAATATGAAAAAAAAAAAAGTTTCCCATTTCTTCTGCCTGTTCTCTACAGCACGTGCTTTCCAAGAACAGGGGATTTATATAAAGTGCAAAGAAGAACATTTTTGTGCATACTGCTTTTTAGATGTACCTTCGTTATCACTGAAATGAAACAAACCAAGCCAATAAGAAGGCTGCGTAATAAAAAAAAAATATTTTAATAAAAAATACACCTATTTTTTATTTCATTGAGGAATTGTGGTTAAAAATAATTACATCATTTAGCCTAGGGGTTTTCCAACTGCAATCCGAGGGTAATACCAATCCATGTATCTCCACCAGAAGTTTCTCGTGATAGTAATTCAGGTCTCTGGCCTGCTGATGAAGCCCTGCAAAACAGTACTGATAGAGATGAAGAGGGGATTTCCTGTAGGCAGGAGGCTGGTGGTGGCCAGTGGCCACCTCTTGCTGCCCTCTAAGCGGGCACTTGTGAGTGAGAATGTGCGAAGGAGTTGTGTCCACCGGCAGTGCCACCAGACCTTGCCTCCCCCTAGATGTGGTGATGGTGGCAAATCACACAATATGCCCACAGCATCTCTGTGTCTGACAGATAGGAGTGGCAGCCACTGCTCTGGTGTAAGCCAGGTACAGTGAGAGCTGGATGAGGCCAGTTAGCCCTTTTTTTTTTTTCCCCCGCAACCAAGGAAAATATGCAAGGGTGACACCTTTAGTGCTGTTTTCTAACTTCATGGTTTTTTCTGTCTGATCTTTTTTATGGCATTTATCAGTTACATAAATACAGTGGTAGGTAAACCCTCCTTAATTTGTGTAACTGGAGAAAACACAACTATGTTGCGTAATTTTTCTTACTTGAGCTGGCACGGGAAGGTATATAACAAAGACACTGCCCTAGATAAACATTGAGAGAAGCATTTGTGCTAAAATGAAGTCATCAGCTTTTGACATTTACAAATTTCTTTTGAATCCTCTTAGATCCATCCGTCAGTGAATACTTCTAGGCATATCTTTTAGAGAAACAGAATTTATATGTGTTTTAAGTGCTTTTACAGAATTTCTACTAATTTATCTAAGCCATGTGTAGGATTGCAAACTGTTGAGTTTGTTAAGAGAATGCTAGTATTTGCAAAACTGAGGCTTCTTTAAAGCCCAAAAGTACTTAGTTCTTCTCTGGTAAAGTCGTAAAGAGGAGTATTTGTGAGAAAGTTAGTACTGTATCTCTAATGTTACTTTAATTGTTTTTATTCGGAGACATTTTAACAAGGGTAGTAATTGGGATTTATTTTTGAAGCCAGAGTAATTTTGGAAAAAACTGCTTCAGTCTTCAGAGGAGACTTGAACGAGGTCTAAAAAATGCAGTTTTCTTTTTTAACAAAATAGACAAACTCTTCTTTAATAGTGTTCGTAAAACGGGTAAGAGCCATATTAAAGGTTTTGTTCTACATCAACAACTGTAATCAATTTGTAAACTGTGTTTGTGTGTCTACTTCTTACATATCTGCATGCACAAATGCATGCGTACACACAGAGATACGTACATAAAGGCTCCAATGTATCAGAACTATCTACTGGTGATTTTAATTGACATCTTCATTCATGCAGTTTGGTTTGTGTTTGACAGCTGATTGCCCAGATAGAAGAGGCAACTCTGGAAACAGAAGGACTTCTTAGAATACCAGGAGTTGCAACAAGAGTAAAGGTAAAACATTGCGCAGATTCTCAACATTGCCCCAAATGTATCTGTGTTTGCTGATTTTATTTTGGCATGCAAATATATTTTAACACCAGCTTGTTATGAAAATCTTCAAAAACAGAAAGAAAAATCTCTTTACAAAAAAAACTGAGTTATATTAACCAGAAAGCTGATGGTTTCATCCAGTGAAGTTTTGGAGAGAAGACTGGAGTTCAAAGTTTGAAGGAGAGTCAAGGCTACATTTCAAATTCAGTTGTGCCAAAATCTCATTAATTCTTGGCACAAGCTTTCCAGCCTTTTGCTTTTTCCCTGAACCAGCTTAATCATCTGAATAGTTCATACAGTCTTTCTACGCTGGGAGGAGGCTTTTCTCTGGCATTGTGAGTCTATTTTAATAGCTAGACTTAAGCTATGTTAGAAGGCAAGGCAGCCAGCATGCACTGAAGAACCTCTCACATTTATTTTTATGAACAGCAATATAACTACTCAGCTCACTAAGCACAATCTTGTTAGGCACGTCCATGCACACTGACACTTTGCAGAGTGAGTGCCAATTACATGCAGACTCTTCCCCGGTATTTGCCTTAATGCAGGAAGCTAAATACACAGTATGATTCACGCCAAGAGTCAATGTCTTAAAAAGACGGTCTGAACTGGTCTTAAATTCTAAACAGAAAGGACCATTTAAGTGGATTCAGCTGTCTGAAGACATCTGCCAGCCTCCGTTGTGTAGAATTCGGCAGCTAGTTCATTAAAAACAACTGAAAGAAGGGAATATTATGGAAATTGGCTTTTTTTATTTACCAGTAACTAAGATATTTTTCTTTTTACGACTTTCCTCCATTCTTTGTTTTCCACTTTTCATCAGTTCTGCAAACAGGGATGATTTCAGAGTGATTTTGTTTATTTATTCTTTGATTTTATCAGTTTAATACGCTTTCCCACGCAGGGGATCATTCACTATTTGACTTTCATTAATTTTTTTACCTCTTAATTTGCAGGAGCTGCTTCTTGGAATTAAGCAGTTGTTTTGTTAGCAAAGATGTTAAGTTCCTTCACTTACTCAAAGAGAAAATTTTATAGAGAACCAAAGAATTTAGCATACTAAAGGACTGGTATTTTCTCTTAATTTTCTTAAACTTTTTTTCTCCTATAGTAAAAGAAAATATTTTCCGCATTATGTAGTTTTATAGAAAGGCACAGATAGTCTCAAGAAAAAATATTTTGCTATCTTGTTCTATAGATTTTAGAATTACTATTTTAAAAATGCATTGCATATACCCCATAGTTAAATGTGTTTACTTTAAAATCTAAACGTTGGTGCATTAGGATGCATAGTTGACATTTTTGCCCTTGCCTCTTCGATAAAACAGTTCATTTTATCTAGATGTTTAATACTGCATTTGCGACAGTGATTTGGTCTGAATGTGGATGGAGGAGCTGATGAGACTCGGGGAGAATTTTCATCTGTATTTCTAAAGCTTGCTTTTGTTGATGAGCAGAAAATCACACCCACTTGACTTGAGACATCTGAGTTAGGATCTTTGCACCTTTGAATCTCCTGCGTAATCAGTGGAGACAGAAGATCTCTCTGGAGGACAGTTGAGGACATCCAACTTTTATATCAACCTAAGCGTCCACATTTTTTTTTTTAAATAGATCCATTTTCCATTTGGACAAGGTTAAATTTAATGAGAACAGTATCTTAAAAATGTGTCTAGTATCCTCTATCCAATGTGCCCTTCTTGTCCCGATAAATAATTAAGGCCATATTTTTCCATGGCACTTTCACTCACTTCATCTCAGATACTTTACAAAACTAGCCAGTGTCTCTGTCCTCCTTTTCTGTCTGGAAGAACTGAGGCAAGAAGAAGGGAGGGACTTGTGAGAAGTGCCTCAGCACTGGCCCTGTACTGAGACCACTTCCCTTTCTGCCGGACTGGGAAATAAATGAAGTGGATCCAAGGCCAGGACTGATGCTTGAAGGGAGACTAAGGAGGACTCAAATCTTTGCAGCCAGTTCTCATTTATGTATCTCTGGAAGCCCAGTTATATAGCACTGCCATGGGAACAGGGCAGGTATATTGTAATCTCTGCTGGCAACAGTATCCTGCGCTTTCCCAACCCCAGAGTTACGAGGTATCACCGAGACTTTCAGTGCTGTGTATTCTGCTGCATAACCTCATGTTTTGCAGTACAGTCCCGTTCTGTATAGGGCATGTTTCACATCCAGTGCTAGGCAGAGCTGTATGAGCAACTTGGTCCGGTGGAAGGTGTCCCTGCCCATGGCAGGGCTGTTGGAACGAGATCATCTTGAGGGTCCCTTCCAAGCAAACCATTCTATGATTCTATGACATGTGCCCAGCAGCATGGAGTTCCCTGTAGATAGCAAGACATCCAGCTATCCAGTCACACAAATCTTTTCCCTGTGTTTTAAAAAGAGAACCAGCCTCACCTTAGTGTATGTTTTGATAGGAAACTGTGTGTCAACGTATTTGTTTATGAAAATGGCCATGCATGCATTACAACAACACCCTTTGGTAGTAGTTTCAGAATTGCTATGTATATCAGCCACGTCTTAATATTTTGGGGGAGGGGAAGTCATAACCATTACATGAATGAGTATGGTATCTCATTCTTATAGTATATTCTGTATGGCCTGAGGTAGGCCCATGGGATTTCTTCCTATATGACTTGGCCCTCTGCTGCCTATGTGTTCGCTGGCAGTGCTTCTGATCCTCAATTTGTATTTTTGTAGAAGAAGATCAGCGACAGCTGGAGTTAAGTGATATTTCAGATGTCCCTTTTTTACCCCCTTTCAAAGTGTGGAAAGTATTGCTGTGTGTATAATGCATGGCTTCCTGCAGCCAAGTGTTATTGGAGCTCTCTGTATCTACTGCCTTTCAGAGTCTTTGCCAAGAACTGGAAGCAAAATTTTATGAAGGGACTTTCAACTGGGAAAATGTAAAGCAACATGATGCAGCAAGTCTTTTAAAACTCTTCATCCGTGAACTGCCTCAGCCACTCCTCACTGTAGAATATCTCAAAGCTTTCCAAGATGTACAGAGTGAGTAGTGTCCTTTCTACCTCAGCTGCCAAGAAATGATACCAGTGCAGAGAAGTGCCTCTTTGCCATAGCAGTATTTTTGCTAAGAATATGTGAAACTGAGAAACAAATTGAGTACCAACAATATGACTTCTCCTGAGAAAAGACTAGGCATATTTTTGCTAATGTAGAAATAACATTTTTCATGTAGCATCTACTTTAATAGTTTACACATAAAATGAAAGCACACTGCTACTTTCTGATAAGATGTTTCTAATTGTTAGGAGATATAGATGAGTTACTAGGAAATTGTGTATGATGGTATCGGTTTATAAACAATATTTGCTTCAAAAGAAAACAACAGCAAAGATATAGTAGTTCTGCAGAATATCTAACAAATGGTAATTTATAATATTTAGGGTATTTTATCCACTTACAACAGGAAAAGTTAGAGCAGAGTAGTCAGAACTGCTGATCATCCTTGGTCCCTTGAGAACAGCAAGCTCCTGTGAAAATATCCTCTTTGCCAACTGGTCACCAAGTCAGCAAACATACCAGCTGTAATTGAAAGAGAGCGGCTTGATGATAATGAATCAGGAGTAAGAACCCACATACATTAACTCCCTAGCGAACATAGTTTTTTCTGAAACTTGCATTCCTATTCCCCTTGTCTGCAGGCAGAACAATGACTCATTTCTAAGGGACAATTTCAGGGAACTCCCATGGACAGGCAGACAGACAAATATTCTTAAAAACTGTGGGCTGTGTCAGTCTCTGGGTTCTGAGAAGCCTTTCAGGGCCATTAAGTCGGTGGGAGTAGGGGGCTGGTGCTTAGGCCTGCCACATAATGTTGATTTTGCAGTACTGAGCGGCAGGTTAAAGCTAGCAAGAATGCTTTCAAGTGATGCTGGCAGCAAACAGCTCCTCAAAGTTGTTCCACTTACCAGATACTGATTGGAGCCAGGAGGGTTTCTACTTGCTGCTCCGGAGCTGTCTGAAGGCTTATGTGGTTTTACTTACCCAGAAAATACTCAGGTGCCAGGATCTGAAACACTTTTTACATTGAGCCAAAGGATTTGATGCAAAACAGACATAGCACTTCATAGCCTCCCATTGTTTAAATTGTCTACCCATCTTGTTGGTTACGTGTAATAAGATAAGGTGGTAGAGAAAAAGAGCCATCTTTGTGACAGTAATCAGTGTTCTTCATGATACTGTGACTAAGTAGTGTGGTTAGAATTAAGTATTTATTTAAACAACTTAATTTAAACAATTTATTTTGTTAATTTAAGTAATTTAAACAACTAAAATTCAATTGTTATTTAGGTGAAAAGAACAAAAACCTTGATTTAAGTAATTAATTTTAATTGTTTTGCAATTGTATTTTTGCTTACTTTCCTAGGAAAAGGTTGATTCTCATTGCTTTTTGAGCATTGTGACATTTAGTTTGGGAACTAAATTTAGTTTTGGAAGTAAATTTAAGCCTTACTTCTAATGCATGTCTTTCTAGAGCAGGTAGGTATACTATTGGCACTACTTGCATATTTTAAACGAGTATATAATTTGCCACTTAATATTCAGATCCTTAGTTTTAATTATGGTAGGAAATAGTCAGCAAGGATTTTTTTTTTTTTTATTTCATCAATGAACTTTTTTTTTTCTTGGCGGTATCTGCCAAACTGATTTGGATGAAATGTATTTGAAATAGCAGTTCATTTGTAATTCCAGCAGCATGCATGAGAACAACCCTGTTGAATTTTGAAATAGTGTGATAGAACTATGTCAAGTGCAGGTACCTCCTCCTTCACTTGTCTTATGTATGGCCTGATTGATTAGGAATCTGCTGAGAAGACTTGCCAGAGTATGTCCTCTAAAGTATGACAGGAGGAAGTTTATCACAAGTGACAAACATGAGAGAGTTAGGGCTTTCTGCTGCTCAGTGCTGCCAGAAAGTGGGAGCTCTTCTAGGAGGTGCAGGAGTGTAGGGATGCAGTTATCCTGCATCTTGGCTGAATGATGCACCACTGAGCAATTGGGTGAAAGGCAGAACCAATGTCACTTTTCTTTAATTATAGCTTGCCATGTCTGGTACAGCACTCACTGCTGTAGATAAGCATTAAGCTTCTCTGCTCTTGGCTTTATCCCCAGTGGTTTGCCATTGCAGCTGCTGCTGCTTATGTCGCTGGAGACCTGCCTTATTCAGCAACACGTGGTATTCATTCTGCGTGGGTGAGTTGGGAGACCATGCAACTGTTAAGGCAATCAGAGAAACTGTGAAAGCAGTTTTGAATATACCCTTTCATATGTTGAAGCACAGGCTCAAAAAGGGAGGAACCGTTAGCTGACTATTTCTTCTTGTAACATTGCAAAATAAAGAATCATAAGGCATCTAGAAAATATTGCCAGTAGACTGCTGAGTCATAGAGCGACTGAATCCTAAAAGAACATTTGGAAATGAGTATCAGAAAACAAGGATCTGCCAGCCTTTGTCATACTATGACAATTAGCTGTGTGTATGCATTCAGCATTTTGCAAGAAGTTTCCACTTTGAGCGTGGCTTTTGAAAAGGACAATTTTAAAATACTGAGGTACATGTGCTTCACTGGCAGATCTTCCGACGAAGAAACAGCAACTGCAAGCTTTGAATCTTTTGGTTCTCCTTCTACCTGAAGCAAACAGAGACACTCTAAAGGTCAGAATTTCTAATACTTTTTTCCTGCACAAACATTTTGTCTGTTTCTGTGAATCTACTGTAATGAATGTGGTTTTCCTTTAACATTCTTTTTTTCAGTTCAAAGTTAATGTTGAAACAGAATTATTTCTTTTCTTGTATTTCACAGAACTTAAGAAAAAAAAACCCCAACTTAGGACCCTAATTCCTCCCAAATGGTTCTTAAGAATGTGACTTGAAATTTTTCCAGGAGATTGCTGTAATAATCTCCCAGTGAGCGACGTTTTCTGTTACAAATTTTGTTCCTTTTTTTTTTGCAGCAACAGTCATCATTTCCAATGCAAAAAATAACCATTGTTAGAAAACTATGGATGTTAGAATACTTGCTTTTATGAAATGGGTTTAGCTCTTCATTGTTATTCCCCACTTTTCTCTATGCTGTTTGTTTCTACTCTCAATGAGCTAGAAATTTACACTTCCTGTTGGTGTTTGCAGCTCGTTAGATGGAGAATCTTCCAATTTGGGCTTGTCCTTTTGTAGCAATTCATCTTTTTCAGAATATGCTTACTATTAAAATTGCTACAATCAAAAATGAATTTTCAGGATTTGTGTGGGATGCAGAGCATCTTCTATTACAGGCAAAAAATCCTATTAGGTCTTATTGTTTAAACATGACTTTCTTTTTGAAATTATTTACTGTGTGGAAGCGGTCAGGAGGGCTCCTGAGTTGAGTTACAAATATCTGGAACTGAATTAATTGAATGTTGTCAGTTTCTAACTGGCTGCCTGTCAGTCACAATGCAGTGGTTTACTCACGAATTGCTTACCTTACAGAACTTGCCACTCCATGGTGTCAGAACCGTGACAGCTGGCACTATTGTGTTCACTTTCAATTTAAGAAAAACCAACAGTAATATTTTCACAAACATCTGTGGGATGCTACTTATGCACCTACATAACAAGGGTTTTGAAAAAATCTTACTGTGCAGGGCTCGAAGTCACGTGAATGCTTTTGAAAATGTTATCCGCAAAAATAACAAGAATGATTTACTTCATTACTTAAAGGAAACAAAACTTGCATTACAGTCTTGTGAACAAACATATCCATACTTCCTGTTATTGATTGCTTTTAATGTGGTTTTATTAGGAATGAAGAGCTTTTTTCAAAAAATATATAACATCATGTTTCACTCGTAACTTTTTCATGTGCAGAGTTGAGCTTTAAGTTCTGCTGTTATTTCAGGTACTGCTTGAATTCCTCCAAAGGGTAATTGATCATCGAGACAAAAATAAAATGACGTTAAAGAATGTTGCAATGGTGATGGCCCCAAACCTTTTCACGTTTCATGGGTTTGGCGCAAAGACTATTGAACAAAGCGAGTTTGTTATGGCAGCTGGAACAGCAAATGTCATGCGCTTTATGATTCAGTACCAAAAACTTCTCTGGACAGTAAGTGTATTCTTAAGGGGTGGAGGGGAGGGGGGTGGAAATCATAAATTTTGCTAACAAGGCATCTGAACAAAGAGGTAATAGGAACTTATTTCCATGATTTAGAGAAAGATCAACCCCATCCAGCTGGGTTCTTGCTCATAGGCAACTCTTACAGGAGTGAAACAGAATCATTACTCTTACGGGAACGAAACAGAATCGTTACATCTTATGGTAGAGTTAAGCTCTGATGGTCAGTTTTAAAATTGTATGTACGATATGTGAACTCAGAAATAAGTCCTTGGGGGATCTTTATATTTGCCCTATCAGTATACATTCTTATGAGGAATTTATTCTTTTCTGCTTAGAGATATTAGCAGGAAACACAGTGTTTTAGTCCGTTTCCCTTTTGGGCCAAACTTCGTATTATATAAAACATGTTTAGATAAAACAAAGCAAAACTCTAACTTAGACTGGAGAAGTTTGGGCTTTGTTGTCCATCAGCAACTTTAAACAATTTTGACCTTTGCTGCATGTGAGGAGAAGTTATTATCACCATTGTACAGACTAAGTGTTCAGTGGGTTTTTTTGGCTGAGGAAAGTAAAAACGTTGCATGATTCCACCTCTCTTCCCGTGAGAGCTTACTGAATGGAATATAACATCACAAATGGAGTGGTTTCTAAATTGTTTCACAGCTTTATATTATTTGAATCTTTAATTATTACTGGAAATAAATACTAATTTTGAATTCTACCTGACAATCTGTCAATTTACAAAGTTTTGGTAAGTTAGTTACTTAAGGAAATTATGTAGATATTCATACTTACTATCTATATTTATCTAGATTCCTAAGTTTATTGTTAACCAAGTGAGAAAACAAAACACTGAAAGACAAAAGAAGGAGAAAAAGGACAAAGCTATGAAGAAACTTCTGAAAAAGATGGCATATGACCGGGAAAAGCATGAGAAACAGGAGAAAACCTATAATGATGTAAGGAAACATACATGCAAAATACTTTATTCATAAGACTATCATCTCTAGTGAAAAAGTGGATATAGCAGAGAGGATATCTACATTTATTTAACTGAGAATTTCCATAGATAGCAAGTTAATATGGATTTCATAGGTTACCATAGGTTACCAGCATGACACATTTAGAGGGTTGGGCTGTTTGTTTCTTTGTTTGTTTATTTTTCCAGATTTTTCAAAATATTTCTATTCAGAAAAATTATATCCCACGGGTTGTTTCAATTTGGGCTTCTGAAACAAAACTACATTAGGTTTGTATCTGTAGAGGGAGCAAGTGTTGTGACAACACTCAGTAAACTGTACCCACATTTAGATGCATTGCTGCCCAATGAAGTCACAGCAGGGCATGTGTTTACTTAAAAAATAAATATCTAGATTTCAGTGTTTGATATTTAATAGTGTTTGGAAACAAAGCTAGCATTTAATCCTTCTTCCTCCTAAAGGAGTTCCCAAACCACTGAACTCTTTGCCTCAATGAATCTTTAACCATTCTTTGTAAAGTGAAGCATACTACAGCACGCATAACCTGCCCACCACAAGAAACCCCAAAGGATGAAACAAATGTGAAAAACTGATAAACTGCTTCTTATGCAGCTGTTGTCCAAGTGTCTACTCCCAATTTACAGTTCAGTATCTTTCCATTAGGTAATTGAGTTTTGCCAGACCCATCAGTGATGTCACGGCATAAGTTTCAGTGTAACACTCTTCACACATTCTTTACAATGAAAAAAATAATCCTGTAGCATTATAGTGTTAATTTTTCCTGTAGTTTAGAAATATTTTAATTGAACCGTTCCCACTGACATTGAAACTTTTAAAATTTCAATAAAGTCAATACTTAAAATTTTTTTAAGCTCGTTAGCCTATATAGTATGGTATCTTAATTGTAATGCATTTGACATACATGATTGCAAAGTTATTTTAAATATGTAAACAGGTAACCCCAAATACGTGTATCCTGATCACATAGTGAATACGTACGAGATTTAGGTGGTATGAAAATACCACCTGGTGGGTTGAGGTCATATTGAAGATGCTGGTGAATTAGAGACATCTTGTGGTAGTTTGTAAAAATGCATTGGTCCCAATGGTCGGTGTTTTTTCTTACCAACCATGTGTATGGCAAACTGTTACAAAAAAGGGTTGTCATATTCTAAGAAAGGCATTTTTTTAAGCTATTAAGCAAAAAAATAGAATATGGCAAATGAATATAGTATGTCTTTTTTTTTTTTTGAATGTGCAAATGGCTGGATCCTTTGGACAACTGCATCCAGTATCTGCTGGAGTCCTATATTTCAGTGTTCATACCTCATTTTGTATACAATATTTGACACATCTCTTAATGTCCAAAATTAATTAATACCCCAGGCATCACTTTGCCTTACTTTCATTTCTATCCATATGAAGGAATTTGTCCACAGCATGAGGACTTCCATACAGTTTTAAAATAAAGCTAATTAAACACTGGCATTTGTTTTATGCTCTCTAATAAGAAAATATTTCTTTGAATACAATTCAGCTGAGTTATGATGAGATGACACTTAATGCTGCCATCCCCTGTTCAACATAGAAATAACAGCAAGTACACTGAAATAGGCAAATGCTGTTGCAATTTCAGCTATTGGATATTTTTGTAATTCAGTGCTGTTGGTCTTTTGGAGTAAAATATGCTTTTTTAATCCACTGGGGAGTTAGGACTGAAGTCTCATGTAATACATTCTTACTCAAATGTAAATGTAAAGTTACTATTCAATAATTTTCTTTAAGCTCTAGAATTCTATGGGGATTTTCTTCAAAATTAAATGGTACAATTTTTCACAAATCTTTCATGCTTATTTGAAGCATTCAGTAATTGTGGTGCCTGAGAACATATTACTCTTAAAATCATATTCACAAATTGATAAGGCTTCATTGTGAATGAGAATTTTATGCATTTTTCCAGGTAAAAAATTGTCTCGTTGTGGTTTGGGTTTTTTTCCCCAGTTTTCAATTTATACTGCCTTAATTTGAAATTGAGGTGCTTTTCCTGTGCAGTTCCTGAATTGCATTTTGCTATTAGATGGCAAGTGAGGCACCCAGACTTGTGGTGAATCCCCACTCCAGTGAAAACTGTTTGAAATTTTTGAGAGCCGATTATCTGGCATGCAGCTGAATGAAAACTAAGTAAAAGTTGCTATTTTCTACTGCATTCTGTGGGACCCCATGTGATTAAACATAGATGGACAGAGCTCGAGTCACTTCCATACTTTCCAGAAATACTTCAGTATCTGCATTCTTAATGGCAGTCAGCTCATTTGGATAAAATTTGATCTTATCTCTGATGAGGCCTCTCTATCATTCACATTTCCTCTTTTAAAACAGAGGTTAAATAGCATTTACTGCAAAGTTTGGGCAAGATCTCTGCATGGTGCTGAGAGTGGTTAATGTTAGAGGGCTCATGAGGGTTAATTGAGGGTGGTTAATATTAGAGGGCTTTTGAGGGTTAGTTGCTTTTCAGGGTACACATGTATACCTATGGCCCCAAGTCAGTGTTAGGGATTAAGTCTTTATGTTGCTGTTGGGGTGCATCATGCTCTAGCCAGGCAAAGAAAGGTGCCCTCAGGAATGGAAATTCACATACTAGCATTAGGGAGATTTATATCATCTGTCATTGTATTCCTCTGCATGTTGCAATTGTTCCAAAGACAGGAGCAGTCATGTTAGCAGCGCAACACAATGCTACTGGGCTTATCTAATACAGGTTAGAATAACCATTGTATCCCATAGCCGTGCTGGTTGCATAACCTGTTTGAATTTTCACAGTATAATGCTACTGACTCTTGCTGAATTTTTTTATCCACTGCACTGCCAGATTATTTACTAAAAACTATTTATTTACAAAAATTTATTTACTAAAAATTTACCTGCTAAATCATTTCTCTCTATATAGTTTTACAGTTTTTTGTCTCAAACTAGGTGCAACACTTCGCAGTTCAAAGAGAACAACTGCGTCCCATTTCTTTCAGACTTTGTCTCCCAGGTAGCAAGATCCTTTCAAATTCCAGTTTTGTTCTTCATAACGCTCGTGCCCCATTC